CAAGGACTTCATGACTAAAAGACCAAAAGCAATGGCAACAAAAGCCAAAATAGACAAATGGAATCTAATTAAACTAAAGAGCTTCTGCACAGCAAAAGAAACTACCATCAGAGTGAAGAGGCAACCTACAGAATGGGAGAACATTTTTGCAATCTACGCATGTGACAAAGGGCTAATATCCAGAATCTACAAAGAACTTAAACAAATTTACAAGAAAAAATCAAATGATCCCATCAAAACGTGGGCAAAGGATATGAACAGACATTTTTCAAAAGAAGACATTTATGCAGTCAACAGACACATGAAAAAATGCTCACCATCACTGGTCATCAGAGAAATGCAAATCAAAACCACAATGAGATGTCATCTCACACCAGTTACAATGGCGATCATTAAAAAGTCAGGAAACAACAGGTGCTGGAGAGGATGTGGAGAAATAGGAACGCTTTTACACTGTTGGTGGGACTGTAAACTAGTTCAACCATTTGGGAAGACAGTGTGGCGATTCCTCAAGGATCTACAACTAGAAATACCATATGACCCAGCCATCCCATTACTGGGTATATACCCAAAGGATTATAAATCATGCTACTATAAAGACACATGCACACATATGTTTTTTGCAGCACTATTCACAACAGCAAAGACTTGGAACCAACCCAAATGTCCATCAGTGACAGACTGGATAAAGAAAATGTGGCACATATACACCATGGAATACTATGTAGCCATAAAAAAGGATGAGTTCATGTCCTTTGTAGGGACATGGATGAAGCTGGAAACCATCATTCTCAGCAAACTATCACAAGGACAGAAAACCAAACATGTTCTCACTCATAGGTGGGAACTGAACAACTTGAACACTTGAACGCAGGGCGGGGAACATCACACACCAGGGCCTGTCATGGGGTGGGAGGATGAGGGAGGGATAGCATTAGCAGAAATACCTAATGTAAATGATGAGTTAGTGGGTACAGCAAACCAACACGGCACATGTATACATATGTAACAAAACTGCACGTTGTGCACATGTACCCTAGAACTTAAATTATAATAATAAATAAACAATAAAAATGATAAAAAAAAGAAATTGGTTAGTAACTATAGCCCATAAAAAGTTACCTTATACTGTACATAATAATTTCCATAAAAATTGTTGCTATCCTGGCCTAAAATTTAGTGCAAATCCTCAACATCAAGCTTTTTCCTAACTGGAAATTTAAATATCAACTACAAATTAAAAATTGCATGTTGACTATGTCATTGAAACTCAGGAAAGTTAATGTTCTTAGGAAATAGTCTAATCAAACTGTTATAATCTAGTAAACATCTGATCTTGTTATCTATTGCTGCATAAAATGTTTCTCCAAAAGAGTGGAGAAAAACCACGCCATCATGTTTTGGGCCAGGAATTTGGGGAGGACGCAGCTGAGAAATTCTTCTGTTTTATGTGGTGTCAACTAAAGTCACTTGGTGGTATTCATCTGGCATTATAATTTGTCTGGAAAATCCAAGAAGTTTTACTGCCATGCCAAGTGCCTTGGCAGGGACAGCCAGAAAAGTGGGCTTAGCTGGGCTAATCTTCTCCATGTGGTCTCAGAGTTTCTTTATGTGGTCTTGGAGTCACATAAGGCTCACTTTGGGGTCATTTTCTCAGCATCTTGAAGGATTCTTGCAACTCAGTCACTGGAAAGCAGGGTTGATAGACTTCTTCCATGGTGGCTCAGGACTTCAAGAGCAATTGTTCTAAAAGACAAAAAGTGAAAGCTGCTGCTCTCCGAAGGCTCAGGCCAGAAACCATGGCATAACTTTTGCAGTATTTTATTGGTCAAATTAATGATTAAGCCCACTCAGATTCAAGGGAAAGTGACACAGACCCCACATCTTGATGGGAAATGTCAAAGAATTTGTAGCCATCTTTAATTTTCCACAATACCTTTATCCACCTCAGATTTAAAGTCTGAAGGAAAAATAAGCCTTTTTTGAAATCTTTTCCTAAATAACTTTTTTCTCAATTGTCTCCATCCCCTTTCAACCTCACTAAATAAACCTGGCACAATTATGAGCTAATCAAGTTTATACATGCTTTCATTTTCTTTTTTCTTTTCTTTTTTTTTTTTAGAATTGGCAAAGGCTTTAATACAGCTATTCTTTTTTTTTTTTTAATTTATTTATTATTATTATACTTTAAGTTGTAGGGTACATGTGCATAACGTGCAGGTTTGTTACATATGTATACTTGTGCCATGTTGGTGTGCTGCACCCATCAACTCGTCATTTACATCAGGTATAACTCCCAATGCAATCCTTCCCCCCTCCCCCCTCCCCATGATAGGCCCCGGTGTGTGATGTTCCCCTTCCTGAGTCCAAGTGATCTCATTGTTCAGTTCCCACCTATGAGTGAGAACATGCGGTGTTTGGTTTTCAGTTCTTGTGATAGCTTGCTAAGAATGATGGTTTCCAGCTGCATCCATGTCCCTACAAAGGACACAAACTCATCCTTTTTTATGGCTGCATAGGTGGGCTTCCAATATTACAGTTTTACCTTTTCTCTTAGTCTTTGAGTCCTAGCTCTCAACATCTGCTTTCTTTTTCCTTTTAAGTGCAGTTATAAGGCTTATCAATATATCACAGGAAACTTTCTCCTTTTTAAATGTTAGAGTTATTTGGTTAGTAAAATGGCCGAAAAGTGTAATAACGTTAGACAAAAATTGTTTAAAATAAAGATATTCTAGAGATGCATTTTGTCTGCTCTTTGTCTCTATATCCTTGTGTTTCTCTAGTGTCAAAAGACGGAGATTGGTTTTACTCAGAGTTCTGTCTTAAGCTCTCTTTGTGCTTAGATGCTCTTTTCTTGTGGCTATGTTGCATCTGTGACAAAAAGTTGACTATTTCACCTAGGCCCCTGGGAACTATGCCAAGTCAGTCATTCTTGGTGCAAGTTGACTTTTTAAGTGAGACTTTCATATCAGCTTCTTTCAGTAAGTCATGCCAAGTGAAACTTGGAAAACGACTGCATTGCAAAAATCCTTCAAGATGCCTAGAAAAGGACCCCAAAGTGAGCTTGAGGTTCACTTCCAGGTTGAATTCAGGTTGTTGTCCAATAATTTCTCTGTCTGTTGTTTTCTGAGATGTTCTATGGCTTCAGGTGACATTTGAGCCCTGACACGGTGTGAGGAGGGATCTCTCTCTCCCTTCTCCCCAGATGCCCTGAAAGAAGAATCTACAGGGCTGGCAGTAGGGGGCAAAGGGCACTCCAGAAATCTGTCCTAGGCTGTCTTTTGGCACCACACACTTCATGAGATCTCTTAATTGTTTTAACCATTACTGAAAGGTGGAAGGCTCCAAAATATGGATCTCAAGCTAACTCTCTTCTCATGACTCCTAAACCCACAAATCCCTAAACCAATCCGTTAACGAATAGCAACATCTACAGTGTAATGCTCCCTAGGATATCAAACTTAACATGGCCAAGCTGTGCTCATAAATTTCTTCTCAAAATGCTACTTGTCATTTAGTCCCCTGTCTTGGTGGAGGGACCACCATCCTCTGATGATACCAGGCTTCTATTTTTGGTTATCTTAACCCCCATACAATCAATGATGAAGCCCTGATCCATTTTTCCTCCTATTTCTCAATTTCATCCCCTCATATTTGGCATTTTAAAAATCAGGCCTCCCCCGATCCCATTTAATCTTGTGCATGTCAAAGTGTCTTTGAGATGGATTTCTAGAAGTGGTATTGCAGGAACAAAGGGTAAACTTACATATACAATTCTGCTGTGTAGTATTATCTTTCCTACCTATGGGTGGTACCATTTTGCATTCCCACTAGAATGTTAGGAGTTTCTCCTTCCTCTTGAGTAGAGTATGCTGTCAAACTTTTGGACCATTGCCATTCTGATGACTAATGGTACCTCAGTCAGCATAGTTTTTAATTTGTATGTTCATATTTTGAGCGAAGCTGAACATCTTTACAGATGTTTGAGGGCTGCTAGCATTTCTTATTCTGTCAACTATTTATTTCTTTTAGCCATTTTCTCTATTGGATTATTGGTTATTCTCAACTTTTAGGAGCTCTTTAGATATTTGGAAAACTAGCTCTTGCCTGTGATATGTTGCAAGTCTTTTTCTTTCCTTATTATTATTTTTTTTGACAAGCAATACATTTTATTTTCATGTAGTCAGATTTATTATGAGTTTTGGATTTTGAGTCATATGGTTAGATGTTTCCCCATTCCCACGTGTTAGAATTATTGTTCATGTTCTCTTCTAATACATGTATAGGTGGATTTTTTACATTTAGATCTCAGATCCATTTAGAATTTATCTCTATTGTGATGTGTGGTGGGAAATACACATCCAGTTTTACCTTTGACAAATGGTTGTCATCCCAGCACAACTTCTAAGTTCTTCATTTCTCTGTTGACATGTGGTGTCCCCTTCATCATTTACTCAATATCCTTACATACCTGGATCTATTTCTGGTCTATTCTTTCTCTCTGTTAATACAATAAAATCATATGGGTATGTTCCAGTATCTGATAAGGCTGACCCTCACCATTGTTCTTTTTCATGGGTTTCCTGGCTATTCTTATTTTCCCACTTGAACTTTATAATCAGTTTATCTAATTCCAGAACAATATTTGTTGATATTTTTGTTGGAATACTAGAGTTGCATACGTATTTAGGGAGGATTGACCTCTTTGAGTCTTTCTAAGAACCGCATATTGCTTTCTGTTTGTTTAAATGTACATCTGGCCTTTTAGGAGCTTTTTAAAGCTTTCTCCATAGAAGTTTTGTTCATTTCTTGTTAAGTTTATTCCTAGTTTCAATTTTTTGTTGCTATTGTAAATATAGTCTTCTCTTCCATTATATCTCGTAACTCGTTATCATTGATTATTCACATATATGAAGGCCATTGATTTTAGTGTGTTAACTTTATATCTTGCTAATTTACTAAATTATCCTTTTTTAAAATAGTTTTTCCATTGAACCGGGTTTTCTGACATATAATCATACATCGGCGCATAAAAGAGAACATCAAGAGGATCGTGGATGGCGAAATAGCCGGCAGAAACCAGCCCGCTGGCCCTTGAGAAGTCTGTGTGGAAGAAATCCCTACGCCACCGCTAAGCGCGGATTTGGGAAGCTCCCCGGGAGAAGGTCCCCCGAGAACATCCCTTTGAGGCATCTCTAACCTCAGAGACACAGAATCCCAAAGTGAATGGAGACGCAAGGGATTTCCCTGTCTTAAGATCAGTTCTACAAGCCTTGACCACCCATCGGGCCGGGGGAAGTGTGGACAATGGCTGAGTAAAGAAGAGGAGAAAGATAAACCCGTTCCGTTTACCCGCGGGTCTGAGAGCCATCATCACCCTTCCTCTCACGTAGACGCGCGGAAACACTACTACCGAGTTGAAAGCCCCTTTCGCCCCCTTCCTAGAGCGGCCGCGGAAGTGCGCCCCACGCGGGTTGGTTCTCAGCCCTCCTGTGGCCGCTTCCGGACTTTGTGGGTCACTTTTGATGGGTTCCGGGTCCCAAAAGGGTTCGAGGCCTTTAGGGGGGAGTTCTCTTCTGGCCCGGGGGGCCGCAGGTGAGCGATGTTGTGCTCTGTATGCTGCGAGGAGGTGGGCGGAAGATTGCTGTATTCTAGTTGCTGGGCCCCTCGGCTCTGGCCGGTGCAGAATGGACCCTGGTCCTCCCAAACCCAGGTGGATCCGCGGGAAGCTCTCCCTCCCCAAAGTGCGCTGGGAGACTAGGATGAGGGATCGGCTCCCAGTCTGCAGCAATTCCGTGCTGTAAGGCCCATACCTACCTTCCGCGTTTGCCTCGGCGTTGTATCCTTGGGTTCAGCGCGTACCGACATTTCTAGACAGTGGTGGTTCACAGACGCTGGCCAGCGTCCCAGGGCCTTCCTCACTTCAGATTATAATCACAGACCATGAGGATAGAGGGAAGGCTTAAAGAGTAACCTCTTCAGGCTTCTCACTTTATAAATGAAGAATAAGGAGCGGAAAGTTTAAGTCCCTGAGGAAATAAATTTACATGACTTTGTTGCTTTTGTGATTTCATGGTTTCTACCAGACATCTGGACATTCAAAAGATAAAAGTAACTAATCAAGGATGTCCTAACCTTTTATCATTATTGTTTACTTGATCTAAATGTTAGTTTTATTCCATTTGTCTTTCATTTAGGACCAAATGAGAATAAGTTTACTAACAAGTCTTACTCTTCTTCTTAATGTCCTGAAACAACTTGGCACCTTTCCTTAGTCTTTCTCTTTAAATTGGTCTAATCTTAAGTCTTTTCTATCAGAGTATTTTTCTGAGTAAGTATCGTACATTAACCTGGAGGCCAGATTTCAAAGATCATAGTTCTCAGAATTTGCAATTTTACTTTATGGTGGAGTTTGTGTTAATAATGATGGCTTATTCCTCAGGACTGTCCAGGAATAAATTTTCCAGGGGAGATCTTACTTGAAACACCGGTAGTTCTGGCACAGCTAAAATGGCATCTACTTGGGCTATCCAGGCCCACATGGACCAGGATGAACGTTTGGAAGTAAAGATAGAGGAGAAGAAGTATACCACCAGACAGGATTGGGACCTGCATAAAAACAACACCCATAGCAGAGAGGTCTTCCGTCAGTACTTCAGACAGTTCTGCTACCAGGAGACGTCTGGTCCCCGTGAAGCTTTGAGCCGACTCCGAGAACTTTGCCATCAGTGGCTGAGGCCAGAGACCCACACCAAAGAACAGATTCTGGAGCTGCTGGTGCTGGAGCAGTTCCTGACCATCCTACCTGAGGAGCTCCAGGCCTGGGTGCAGGAGCAGCATCCAGAGAGTGGCGAGGAGGTGGTGACTGTGCTGGAGGATTTAGAGAGAGAATTGGATGAGCCAGGAGAGCAGGTGAGAAAAAAGATGTGACTTCTGTTTGAGAAAAGATAAATTGTGGATTTCTAGGCCAGAGTGAAGAACAGCCATTTTTTCACAAAGCATGTTTTTTGACAGTTTGATGCATCAGAAAGGGGCATGAGTTTCAGGGAAAGTTGGCTAATGTGGTCCCAACTTATTTATAACTTTTCTGTGGAAGGATTTTATATTTCTCTATTAAGCTACAAAATTCTGTTTGATAAATATGCTGCTCATCTTAGAAAACTTCTAAGACAAGAGAAGGTATCAGAGAGATGAAAGTAGCAGGATGGGAAGCAGTCTCTTGGAGGGGCATCACTCTGTTGCGCAATACAAATAATTAAGAATTAAGGTTTTGCAAATATATCCATTGCTCTGACTCCATTACAGGGTTTTAAAATGGAAAAATTAACTATTTCAGGGGAATGAGATGTGGGAGTACAATGGAAAGTTAGTGAGGAGAGCAGGGTGGGGTTCTGTGTTTCTTTGAGTAGTAGAAAGCCCAGATAGGTTGGAAAGGTGAATTCTGAGTAGAAGAGTTGAGATAGTGTCCAGGACCTTGAATCTCAACCTCTGGAATTGAGATTTTATTCTGTAGACAGACGCCCCTAACCTTTTCTTCTTGAGTCTAAATGAGCTTTACTAATTGTAAGATGTAAAAGAGAACCAAATTATATAGAACTTTTTTGTTTTGTTTTTAATACTAAAATGAGACAGTGGTTGTCAACCAGTGCCAATTTTGTGCCCCAGAGGGCATTGGCAATGTCTTGGGACATTTTTGGTTGTTATAACTCAGGGAGGTGCTCCTAGTATCTAGTGGGTAGAGAGGACAAGGCTAATGCTAAGCCTCTTACAACACACAGAACAGCCCCAGACAACAGAGAATTATCTAAACCAACATGTCAGTAGAGCCAACACTAGGAAACCCTGATATAAAGAGTTTGAAACTTAGGGAAATAATGAAATGGAAGTATAATCTAACACTGTGATACAAAATACAATAGAGAGGGTAGGAACATGTGGCAAAAAGATCTAAGTTTGAAATAAGATCACGAGGCCAGGCGCAGTGACTCATGCCTGTAATCCTAGCACTTTGGAAGGTCAAGGGAGGTGGATCACCTGAGGCCAGGAGTTCAAGGCCAGCCTGGGCAACATGGTGAAACCCCATATCTACTAAAAATACAGAAATCAGCCGGGCATGGCGGCACGTGCCTGTAATCCCAGCTACTTGGGAGGCTGAAGCAGGAGAATCACTTGAACCTAGGAGGCAGAGGTTGCAGTGAGCCAAGATTGTGCCACTGTACCCCAGCCTGGGCAACAGAGTGAGACTCTGCTTAAAAAAAAAAAAAGAAACAGGATCATGAAAGTGTGATTACCAAGGATGAAGAATGTCTTAGGTAAGAATTGTTTGGAAGTGATGACAGATTAGATCTATTAAATAAAGAAGGAAGAACCAATGGAGAACTCTTTACAGAGCAATGTATTCTAAGCTAAACACTAGGGATTTTAAGCTTGAAAGACTAGTATAATGGAGACACTCCTAACAAAGTTAAAGACTGTAGGAAATAATTAAGTACATATTTACTGTATGTCTGTTTGGACTAGGTACTGTTTTAGGCACTGTGAATGCAACAGCCAACAAAACACAGGGGGTTGCTATTCTTATGTAGATTCTGGTCTACTGAGGAGAGACAGATAGTAAATTAAAAATCAACAAACCAGCCCAGGCAACATAATGAGACCCCCATCTCTATAAAAAATACAAAAATTAGCCAGGCAGGCACGTGTAGTCCTAGCTACTTGGGAGGCTAAGGTGGGAGGATTGCTTGAGCCCAGGAGATCGAGGCTGCAGTGAACCGTGATTATACCACTGCAGTCCAGCTTGCGAGACAGTGAGACCCTATCTCCAAAAAAAAAAAAATCAACAAACATACAAGATGTAGGTGGTAATAAATTCTGTTCAAACAACAACAACAACAATAAAAGCAGAGAAAAGGAATAGTGAAATAAGTGGGGATTGTGCTGTTTTCTATAGACTTGTCAGGGAAGGCTTTTCAGATAGGTGACATTTACAGGAGAAATCTGAATGAAAAGAGCAAGCCATACGGCTATCAGGGATAAAAGCATTCAGGCAGAGGGTCTTAAAGTGAGAATCTACTTATCACAGTAGAGATGTGTTTGTCAAGGAGGAGATGAAATAAAATGCTTATAAGATTATATTATGTCAGAACTTGTAGCAATTATAAGAATTTCGAATTGTATTCTGAGATGGAAAGTCACTGGAGAATTTTGAACAGAAGAGAGACATAATTTGACTTGAATTTTAAAATAGTCACTCTGGCTTCTGTGAGAAAGTTCCACAATGGGGCTGGGGTAGGCATAGGAGTAAAAGTTCGAGGCAAAGAAACCATTGTAGAAGCAATAATAATAAGCAATAATCCAGGCAAGAGATATTGGTGACTTGGACTAGAATAGTAGCAGTGGGAGTGGTAAAATGTGATTGGATTCTGGATGTATTTTGGAGGTAGAGCTTGACAGGGTTTGTTTTTATATAGAATGTGGAATATGAGAGAAAGTAAGTTAAGGATTATGCCCAAGTATTTGGTCTGAATATCAGATAGAGTGGATTTGTCTTTCATAGAGATGGTAAAGACTGGGAGAGAAGTGGGTTTGGGGTGGAAGGACAGGAATCAAAAATTAGGGTTTGGGCCAGGCACGGCGGGTCACGCCTGCAATCGTAGCACTTTGGGAGGCCGACATGGGCAGATCACCTGAGGTCAGGAGTTCAAGACCAGCCTGGCCAACATGGTGAAAGCCTGTCTCTACTAAAAATAGAAAAATTAGCTTGATGTGGTGGCGCGCACCTATAATCCCAGCTACTCAGGAGGCTGAGGCAGGAGAATCGCTTGAACCCAGGAGGCGGAGGTTGCAGTGAAACAAGATCTTGCCACTGCACTCCAACCTGGATGACAGAGTGAGACTCCGCTTCAAAACAAAACAAAACAAAAAACAAACAAAAAACAGGGTCTGGACATGTTAATTTTGAGATTCCTGTTTTTTTTTTTTTTTTGAGACGGAGTCTCGCTGTGTCGCCCAGGCTGGAGAGCAGTGGCCGGATCTCAGCTCACTGCAAGCTCCGCCTCCCGGGTTTTTACACCATTCTCCTGCCTCAGCCTCCCGAGTAGCCGGGACTACAGGCGCCCACCACCTCGCCCGGCTAGTTTTTTGTATTTTTTAGTAGAGAGGGGGTTTCACCGTGTTAGCCAGGATGGTCTCGAACTCCTGACCTCGTGATCCGCCCGTCTCGGTAGAACCCAAGCAGAAAAGTTGAGCAAACAACTAGATATAATAAACGAGAAGGGTCTGTGCTAGAACTACAGAATTGGGGCTTTTCAGAATATGCATAGTATTTAAAGCCACAAGATAGGATGAGATCATGAAGGGAGTAATGAGCAGTAGAAACAGAGTAGCTAGAGAGGTACAAAGAATGGGATTCTTAGATGCAGCCAAAAGTAATTTGGTTTTAAATGTGCTGAATCTGTATTGCCAACCAGTTCTTTCTCTGAAAGCACTGCAGGGGGCATCTAATGGAGTTTACAGCTTGATTTCTGAGGCCTGACCAGAGATCCAGGAATAGAAGGCACAGCTCACAGTACTGGCCTTTTCTCCCCGCTTTCTTTTTTCAAAATGTGAGATATCAAAACACCATTTTCTGTACATCTGAGATAGCATTTTGCTGACTCTGGCTTTTATTCTGAAGACTGAGTCTACAAAATGAAACCGTATCAGGGAAATAGAGGCAGTATATGGTGATTTCTTATTTATAAAATTTAACCTTTGAAGAGAATGGGGGAGTAATTTGAGAGCCTGTTGTATGCCAAGCCCTGTGCAAGGTGCTTTATACAAATGTTATTTATAATCTCAGAGAGAGTAAGTAACTAGCCCAAGGTCACAGAGCTATTAGACTAAGAGAGAGAGTTAGTAATCCATGTGATTCCATATCCCTGCTTTTTACAATACTTTGCTGAAGAAACCTATTATTTTTAAATGCAAGAGGAAATAGGCCCATGGAAGAATGGCAGCCACCCAGTGACTGAAATTGCTGAATAAATGAGTTAGTTAACTGAGGGAGCAAGGGTCAGAGGGAAGCCAAAAGTGATGGGATTGAAGGCAAAAGTAGAGATGTGAGCCTTGAAATAGAGAAGACATCATCCTCTAAGATAGAAGAAATGGAGAGGAGTATGAGGGTGGAGATAGATAAAATGAATAGTAGATGATTTTTGAGATGATTGTGATCTTGGATAAATAGAAAATAAGATAATCTTCCCAGAGAGAAGTGGGATGGGCACCTCAGAAGAGCAGAGACTATTGGGAACAGCTTAGGAATGAATATGGAAGAGATTTCTCTCCTTCCCTTCTTTTCCCTTTCTTTCTTCTCCCACCTTCTTTCTTTTCTTTCTCTTCATTTGTTCCCTTATACCTTTTGTTTTGTTTTGTTTTTGGAGATACGGTGTCTCTGTCACCCAGGCTGGAGTGCAGTAGTGTAATCATAGTTCACTATAACCTTGAACTGGGCTCAAGCAATCCTCCTGCCTTAGCCTCCTGAGTAGTTAGGACTACAGATGTGCGCCCCCATGCCCAGATAATTTTTAATTTTTTTGGAGAGATGGGGTCTTGCTATATTGCCTAGGCTGGTCTCAAACTCCTGGCCTCAAGTAATCCTCCCATCATAGCATCCCAAGGGTGCGTTTCTTTTTTATTATTTCTCTACATTATTTATCTTTACATATCCCCTTTCCTTTTCCTCTTTCTCTCTTAATGTTTTATTTTACCCGAAGTTCTGTCTTATTTCCTCCTTTCTGCCTCTTTCACCTTTTTCTTCTCTCCTTTGTTTTGTCTTTCTCCCTTTCCTTTCTCCACTTCTTTGAGCATAAGACAAAGAAGTAAAAGTGGCACAACCAACATACTTTAGCAGTAACAACAGGAGAAATTACATCTGGGTGTAGAAGGGAAGATTCCCCAGAGCATGTGACATTTATATTAGCCTTGAAGAATGGGTAGGGTTATGGCAGGCTTATATCTGGGAAAATGGTCATTTCAGGTTTCAGCCACTGCCACAAATGTATACTTTTTGTTTTCTGTTATCAGAGTAAGTCTGTCAGCTACATCTCATTTTCCTCAGGTCTCAGTCCACACTGGGGAACATGAAATGTTCTTGCAGAAGATGGTACCTCTAGGAAAAGAAGGAGAACCCAGTATGCCCCTCCAGTCCATGAAAGCCCAGCTAAAGTATGAATCTCCAGAACTTGAATCCCAACAGGAGCAAGGTAAAGAAGAAAGATCCATCTTGGGAGGAAGGGGAAGATGGGTAACATAGGACACTGGGGCTTTTTTGTACTTGCTACTGTTTCTGATCATTAAAGTCAAAAAGGCCCTCTCTGAATCTGATGGCTCATACATAGACTCTCAGATGGCCTGGTTTGTCACTCTTCAACCCTTACTTTCTTGTATATTCATATTCTTCTAAATTCTGGCTTTAACACTTAATTTAGTCCTTCTGATACATTCTCTCTCTTTATACTGACCTCCTTGCTATTTTTTTCTTTCTTTTTTTTTTTTTTTTTGAAACGGAGCCTCGCTCTGTTGCCCAGGCTGGAGTGCAGTGGCGCGATCTCGGCTCACTGCAAGCTCCACCTCCCGGGTTCACGCCATTCTCCTGCCTCAGCCTCCCCAGTAGCTGGGACTACAGGCGCCCGCCACCACGTCCGGCTAATTTTTTTGTATTTTTAGTAGAGATGGGGTTTCACCGTGTTAGCCAGGATGGTCTCAATCTCCTGACTTTGTGATCCGCTTGCCTCGGTCTCCCAAAGTGCTGGGATTACAGGCGTGAGCCACCGCACCCGGCCTACCTCCTTGCTATTTTTAGCTTTTATCCTATCAGACAATACCTCTATCTTCCACTTGCACTATATCCTTTCTGCTTCATTAAATAAGACTTTGCTCCATTATTTCTGCAACTAACTTTCAGATGGTTCAAGAAAAAAAAAATTGTATACTTACAAAGAAAAGGAATAACAGGCTGGGTGTGGTGGCTCACACCTGTAATCCCAACACTTTGGGAGGCCAAAATGGGTAGATCACGAGGTCAGGAGTTCGAGACCAGCCTGACCAACATGGTAAAACCCTGTGTCTACTAAAAATACAAACATTCGCTGGGTGTGGTGGCACATGCCTGTAATCCCAGCTACTTAGGAGGCTGAGGCAGGCGAATCGCTTGAACCCAGGAGGCGGAGGTCGCAGTGAGCTGACATCACGCCACTGCACTCCAGCCTGAGCGATAGAGCAAGACTCTGTCTCAAAAAAAAAAAAAAAAGAAAAAATAATAAAACAAATGTTACAAAATATTAAAAGTTCATGAATGTGTGAAAGATCCACTACCTTATTTCTACTTTCTCTGTATCTGTTTCATTTTCATTTAATTTTTTAAGTAGGTAAAAATGTACATGGCTCAAAAACAAAATGTTTTAAAGTTATTTAATGAAAAGTTTCTATTCCACTTGATTTTCCCAGCCACCTAGTCTCTTCCTCCTACTCTGAAATAGGCTGTAACTGTTACTAATTTTTTGTGTGTCCTTCCAGATATTTTTTGATGCATATATGTTTTCCATATTGAAACAAATATATTTTCCTCTCTTTATCACTAAGATGGTAGAGTCTTGCATTTTTTATTTCCTAACAGCTGCTTAATATTAAAATGTATGGATACATTTTAAAGGTACAAAAGGTAACATTTATGATCCCTTCTTAGTTTTAGATGTTGAGACTGGAAATGAGTATGGAAATTTAAAGCAAGAAGTTTCTGAAGAAATGAAACCACATGGGAATACATCCAGTAAATTTGAAAATGATATGTCCCAGTCTGCTAGGTGTGGAGAAACTCATGAACCTGAAGAAATAACAGAAGAGCCCTCTGCATGCTCCAGAGAAGATAAACAACCTACCTGTGATGAAAATGGAGTAAGCCTGACTGAGAACTCTGACCATACTGAGCATCAGAGAATCTGTCCAGGAGAAAAATCTTATGGATGTGATGACTGTGGAAAAGCTTTTAGTCAGCACTCACACCTCACAGAACATCAGAGGATCCATACTGGAGACAGACCCTACAAATGCGAAGAATGTGGAAAAGCTTTCCGTGGGAGAACTGTGCTTATTCGACACAAAATAATACACACTGGAGAGAAACCATATAAGTGTAATGAGTGTGGCAAAGCCTTTGGCCGGTGGTCAGCTCTTAACCAACATCAGAGACTTCACACAGGAGAAAAACACTATCACTGTAATGACTGTGGCAAAGCCTTTAGTCAGAAAGCAGGCCTCTTTCACCACATCAAGATCCACACAAGAGACAAACCTTATCAGTGTACTCAGTGTAATAAAAGTTTTAGTCGGCGTTCCATACTTACTCAGCATCAAGGAGTTCATACCGGCGCGAAGCCCTATGAGTGCAATGAGTGTGGAAAAGCCTTTGTTTATAACTCATCCCTTGTTTCCCATCAGGAAATCCACCACAAAGAAAAATGCTATCAGTGTAAGGAATGTGGGAAATCCTTCAGTCAGAGTGGCCTTATTCAGCATCAGAGAATTCACACTGGGGAAAAACCCTACAAATGTGAGGTATGTGAAAAAGCCTTTATTCAAAGGACAAGTCTTACAGAACATCAGCGAATTCACACTGGAGAAAGACCCTATAAATGTGATAAGTGTGGGAAGGCATTTACTCAAAGATCGGTCCTCACGGAACATCAGAGAATTCACACTGGAGAAAGGCCCTACAAGTGTGATGAGTGTGGGAATGCCTTCCGAGGAATCACCAGCCTCATTCAGCATCAGAGAATCCACACTGGGGAGAAGCCCTACCAATGTGATGAGTGTGGAAAAGCCTTCAGACAGAGGTCAGATCTTAGTAAACACCAGAGCATCCATAATAGAGGTGGTCCCTATGTATGTAAAGAGTGTGGGAAATCATTCAGGCAGAACTCAGCTCTTACTCAACATCAGACTATCCACAAAGGAGAAAAATCTGTTTCTGTGTGATGACTACAGGGAAGTTATCTCACAGAGTTCAGGCCGGTGAGAAATACTATTTAGCTTTAAAATTATTGGGGTAAAACTTCAGTCACCATTGTTACAGGGAAACCTCAGATATTTAATAAGAATTCAGTACGTGCTGCCCATTGTATTAGGTGCTGTGGAGAACAAGAAGATAACTCCAAACTCTTTTCTCAGAGAGTTTATAGCCTAGTTTGGGATAGATAAGATCCACATATTTAGTTAAATAAGACTACAGGAGAGTAGAATAGATGCACAAGTCGGTGTTGAATAAAAGTGGTACTTTGTAGCCTGTAAGTGCTGTAAATTCTAAAGGACAGGTTACTTTTGCCTGGAGTGGTGAACAAAGATTTTATTTAAAATAAGGATTTGATGGACAGACTTAGCAGTCACAAGGGAGAAAATGGGTAAAACAAATGTAAGCCAACTTAAGAGTGCATGTGGTTTGGAAGCATCAGGGAAAAAACTAGCCAACCTGCAGTAAAAGGTTCATGCAAATTGGGCAATCAATAGCATTAAGTTGGAAACAGCTTGGGGACAGACTATAAGAAGGCCAGAATGTGAATAATTTCATCTCATACTTTATAGCACTTTGACATTTACAGAGCACTTTTCTTATTCCTCAAATACCTTGGTAAAAGCAGTCTCCATTTTAAAAATGAGAATACTCTTGCCTATGAAGATGGCGACACAGCTATAATCCCACACAAAGAAAAAGACCAGTAACCTAAGTGCAGGTCTCTTGACTTCTAGTCCTGGCCATTACACTAGTGATCTTCCAACATTGATGAACATCAAAATCACGTTTGGGGCTTGTTTAACATCCCTGAATCCCACTCACATTCTGCTTCATTAGGCCTAGGATGCAAGTTAAGAATCTTCATTTTTATAGCTTCACAGCTACTTAATATACTTTAAAATTTGAGAAATGTTGAGTTGAATGACAGCTGACTTCATGGCTGTCTGCAAAGTGGGGAAGCCTGAACACAGTCCTGTAAACTAAAGGCCACTGCAGACTTTTAGCACAAGGAGATCCTTACAGGGAACATGTGCCACCAGCTCTTTGGAGTAAACCGGGAATTAGACCCCCATCATGCCAAAAACTAGGGTTTTAAGGTGGTCTTTCCATCCCTTCAGATTTAAGTATTTAAAGAAAAAGAGACAGACCTACATTCCAAGGGTCTTCTGAGTGCAAGGCCTTGTGTTGTTTATTTATTTAGGGGAGGGCTTGGTGCTCTTCTCTGCTTTACGCTTTACCTTCTTTTGTTTCCCAGATCTCTTGTTACCACTATGTTCTGAATTCCCTAATAATTGCTCTTGAGAACTGATTTACATTTTGTTGGTTTGTATACTTCTTGAGCACATAAAAGGACCCCAAATTAGAGATACTACCCCTCGGGCTTCTGAAAAATGAACCAAAAACTGGTTGACTCTAACCTTGTCTTGCTGAGTAAAAATTCTGCTTTGGATGAGAACCTGTCTTGATTGTTTTAGTGGACAACAGGCAAGCCACATAGAAGTACACATGGCTCCTGATCTGTCTTTTTATTTACAGAAATCATTCTTAATCTCTACTGAGATGGCCTGTTAGTTCCTTCCTTTTCTACCCTGCCACAGCAAACTCCACAATTTCTGGGACTAACTTCCTACTGCACCCCAACACAACTCCAATCCTCTCTTCTCTTCATACTTCTAGCTGGTCAATGGGTTTGAAGTGGTGAGACAGTGATAAAAGGGGAAGGGGAAAAATAAAAGAAGGGTAATCTGCATTCTTCCTTAGTAAGTCCCACTCCTAATTACCTAATTACACAGTCCTGTGTCTTTGTCCCATCTTCACTCCTGTAATACATTCCCCACCCCCATTTTCTTAGTGCCACTGTCTCTTGCCTCTCTAGCCATAAACCCTGTACAGAATTTCATCCCTGGGTTGGAACTAGAAGCACCCGTTGGTCCTATAGCAATATTATATTTCTAGCTAAGTTGTAAATATGAACACATATTCCCATAGAAGTCATAATGGTCTAAGTATTATAATTCAGGTATATTGGGTGTCAGATTGGCTTCTGGGATTGGAACTTACATGACTTTCTGTGTGGAAAAAACTTCTTGAGTTCATGAGAGAGAAAGGCAAATGAACAGTTGAAAAACAACTTACTCATAAGTTGAGGACTGCTTAGTTAGGTTTTTTTCATAACCCCAGCATAGGAGTTGCACACATAAGGCACTGAGGCAACTGGGATTGGAAACCTAGTTTTCTTCCTCCAGGAAACAAGGAACCCAGAGTGAGCCTGGGAGCTCTGTAGCTATAAGTATGTGAGGCCTATGCTCTACCTAAGTTTACCCTGCCTCCCATTTCTCACATAATGAGAATGCAAACTTGTAACCAAACCAAGGTTCAGCTGCTTGCGGCTCCAAAGCCAAAACTCGGGAGAGAAGAGAGTTGGTGGGAGGAAAAGCAGGTTTATTTGGAGAGCCAGCAAACTGAGACGATGGTAGGCTAGTGTCCTAAAGTACCATCTTAAATCAGTACAAATTTTAGGCTCTTTTTATGTTAAGGGCAAAGGGAAGAGGATAGAGTTGGGATGAAGAGGTAACCTATGACCACAGACATCTGGGTGCCAGCAAGAGTCCAAGGAAGTTGGGAACTTCTTTGTCATTGGTTGGGTCACAATGCTCCTGTAAATCTTTAACAAAACATAGTTATACATACTTCTTTAATACCAGAGTTTGTTTTTAAAACTACATGATTGCTGTTTTGCATATTATCTCTGCTCTAAAATTAGCCTACATGGAGGAATGGGTAAAGGCTCCTTAAACAAAAATGGAGTTACTTATGTTAGTTCTTGTGCTGTTTCACTGTTAGAAACTCCTCTCAGTGGAGGGGACTTTACTTAATGATGAGAACCTGTGTGAGAATGTTCTCCTTACCAAATATGCTATGCATACTCCTTATCTAATCTGATTTTATAGACTTGTTATCCAAACTGAAATTACTGTTCATAGTAACTTCAGAGCCTCTCTTTTAATCTGACTGCTCACTGGAATGCAATCCTTGTTTTAAACTTGCCTTCTGTTCCTCTCAGTGCCTTTACTTGGGGATCTTTCCAGCTCATTTTCTGCTTAATATGGTCTGTCATTGCGCACATTCCTCCATTTGCCTTTCTGCACGCGACTTAATATTTCTTATATACCTAATATTATAAAGGGGCCATAAACAAAGACTCAGAACAATGGAATATGCCGATTACAGGAGGGTACAGTTCATACTTGTTTAAAAATAAATGTGGAGGCTGGGCGTGGTGGCTCATGCTTCCCACCTTTGGGAGGCCGAGGTGGGCGGATCACGAGGTCAAGAGATCGAGACCATCCTGACCAATGTGGTGAAACCCCATCGCCACTAAAAATACAAAAATTAACTGGGTGTGGTGGCATGTGCCTGTAATCCCAGCTACTCGGGAGGCTGAAGCAGGAGAATCGCTTGAACCCAGGAGGCAGAGGTTGCAGTGAGCCGAGATCGCGCCACTGCTCTCCTGCCTGGCGACAGAGTGAGACTCCGTCTCAAAATAAAATAAAATAAAAATATAAATATATGTTGGGGTTTTGTTCTGGTTATTTCTCATGCTTAAATACAGTTGTAGTACCAAAAAATGGTGGAGTGACATGGAATTTCCAGGTAGGCATCAAAGGGGATTAAACTAGCTCTCCAGGATAAAGAGGAAATATAGTAGAATAAGGCTACTAATTGGAGCTAAATTGGCAATATAGGGAAATTTAAGGCCCTGAGGGGCAAATGGAGGATGTGACATGTTAGATATGGAATAGGAGTACTACACTGGGGAGTGCAGTGAACAGAGAATGCTTTGTGATGAAGTCAAGAGTACATTTTATGGATAAAATACAGATGTGGTGTGACAGTGACAAGATCCTAGGAAACCTGAAACCTCTGAAGCATTTGATGTATGTGGATTTTGAAATAACAATAACAGGGGGTGGGATGGAAAGGAAGAATATGAAAGTGAAGCAGGTCCAAGGTAGAAATAATGGTCATCAATTGTAACAACAGCCAGATAGAAGTATCTGGTGTAAAACTCAAATGAATCATAAAGTTTGCAAATAATATTAAGGACAAGAATAAGATTGACTGGCTTGTCTTTTCTAATTGGTTCAAGGTAAACATGACATTAAGTGTTCAAGGCAAAAAGCATGGAGAGGTTGGGGAAGAGCCAAGTTTCTAAAGTAATGAAAAGTGAAGTGAGTTTCAACTCAGGCTGTGAATGAAAACATAACCTGACAAACTGATTCCAGAGAGTGCAGTGGGAAGGGACTGCAGAGGAAAACAGAACGGGGCCCTCCTTCCAACAATACATTGTATTAAGAGGTTACCAGAGTTTGAGGTATGAGATGAAGCTAATGAGGAAGGACAGTGGGATTCATGAGGGCTCCAAATTGAGACATCTCAACTGTATAATGACATTGGTTGTAGAGAGCACTAAGATACAAGAACTTAGACAAGTCTGCACTCCTGTACTCAGTACAGAAGTAGTCTTTTTTGTTAATATACAGATTATTTGTCGAGCTGCTATAGTCAAAACAAAGCTGTTCTTATTGACCATCTTTTGGAATTGAGAAAAGGGTTTATTAATGACAATACTCCACACTTATTAACTGCTAAGGGCCAGACATTACTAAATGCTTTACTTACAACATCTCACTTTCAGCTGGGGAAACTGAAATAGATAAGCTAAAGCTGCTCAAGATCCCAGAGTTAGTATGTGGTAAGGCCAAGATTTGAACCCAGGCAGCCCACTTCAAGAGTCCACACTTTTAACTTCTGTGATACACTTCCTCAGTTTATTTCAGTTGAACAAACCATGTGTTGCAGTGGTAATTCAGTGTCTTGAGTAATTATCTGTAAAAACTTTTTATCTCTAGTCGGTATTCTGAAAAATGATTCAGAAAGTCCTAGAGTCCAAACACCTCAGGTAATAGTATTATGACCCCCTCTGCATACCAAATCTTGGATGAGGTTTGGCCAGCATAAACAGCTCTACTTGTTGCCTGCACAGAGAGGGTGTCACAGGAGACATTCCACTTTAAAAATGGGCTCTTTATATGAAAAGATCATCCTTCTTAGCTTAGAATCATAAATCACTCTGCATTATTCTCACAGAATAAGGAATATTTGGCTGTGTAATTTAATACAGAAAGATTTAAAGATTTGTCCCCAAGTGTTGATAACCCATGATGGATGTATCTTTAATGTGAGTTTTTAAAAGTGATTTTATATTAGAAGATACTTCTTGGATTTCAAAATGCACACACACATATATATGTGATATATGATATTTTTCTTTGCTTAAGACTCACCAGTTTTACAGTTCAAATGATGTCCCTCCTAACTCCACAAGGCCAGAATTTGAGCAAATGCTTGTTCAACCTAGACATAATCATTCGATAGCCTTTAATTGAATCTCTTCCTAACTTTTATCCTTTAAACCGAAAAGTTATACCACAGTCACTACAGCAGCTCATTTTATTGGAATTTCTTTGGATCCTCTCCCTCTCAAACATTCTGCGTGTATTTGGTAAGGAGTCCTCACACATTATTTTTTACTTGTATAGTATTTCTACATATATATATTAATGTGTACAAAGTATGTATGAATATTTTTATGTGTTGTAATTTGTATTTTATATATATGGCCTCATGTATATAATTTGATGTTGACAGAGCCAACTATGATAAGTGTTTTAAGCTTTTCAGTTGATTAGCCCCCTAGCTTACATTGTAAGACCATCATTTAGAGCCAGCAGTTTTCCCTTGATTTCATGGACAGTTGATTCTCTTCATACACTTTAAAAACACCATTTAGGTGTCTGAAACCCATCAGTCAAGGCTCCCAGAGCTTTCACCTATCATAGTTCAAGTTGATCTCTAGGGTATATGTCTGCTTGTTCCTGCCAGTCATTTTCCTAAGCCCGGTGGCCTGCTTCTGGAAGTCCCAAGAAGGGCTCCATAGTGGAAGCCATTTGTTAGTTCTGATTTATGATTAGATCATCATTACTCCTCTTCAAGCTTGGTGGGCATATCTTAGTGTTTTGATTTAGTGCCTTAGTTCTGCCTACTTCAGTAATGAATTTAGGAGTAGATGTCTCCGCATTTCATCCCTGATAAAGATTGAGGCAGTTTAGGGACTCTGCAGCTTCCTGTGGCCAAATTCTCTACTTATTCCTGAGATAGGGTTTAAGAACCTGGATTCTAGAGACAGATTGCCATGGTTCGAATCTCAGCTTACTAGCTAAGTGACTTTGGGCAAGCGATTTAACCTCTCTTGTCCCTCAGTTTCCTCCTATGTAAAATGACAAAGATAATAATACCAACCCAATGTAGATTAAATTAGTTTACAAAGTGCTTAGAATAGTGCTTGGCACATTAGTGCTTTACAACTGCTATTTTGATTGTTGCTGTGGGCTCTCTCAAATGCATTGTCTCTAGATGCCAGTGCCCCAGGTCAAAATTTACCTTTAACCATGCTGCAGGTTTCCCAGACTGCTGCAGTCCTCCTAGCCCTGGGATAAAAGCTCCCACGCAGGTATACTTTTACTTTCCTGCCTGGAGAACTGATGAGCAGTGGCCAGCAGGGGACACTTACCGCCCAAGCTGGGAAGAGAGATTTCTTCCCTTTTGTCTCCGCCCCTGTTAGTTATCAGAGGTACCTAGCAGCCCGTGCTATATCCTCCGTTTGCCTTCGAAACTACTCTTCCTACGTTCTGCAGCTGGAAGGCCGGCCTCGCGCGGGTCAGACGCGCCCCGGCCTGGGAGCATGGGCCCCCGGGCTTACCTGACTGCTCAGCTGGAACTCGCGCTCCTGAGCTGGCGCGGGGTTCGGCCGGGCAACCACAGAGAGGAGAAAGCCTCCAGAATCCTAGAGAAGCTGAATGCTGAGACAGCCGTTGACGGCGGCGGGACACGAAAGTACCGACCTTTCTGACCTTTGTGACGGACCTTTAGGAGTGGGGTGGTCCCAGGTTCGTGCACTCTGGCCTTTAAGTGTCTCTGGTGAAGTTGGGCCTGATAGGTTGAGAGCTGCCAGGGGAAGTTAAGGGTGACTTCCAAGTTTTGAGGTATAAGGAAAACTGGCTGTTGAGAAAAGGGAGTCTGGGTTCCCTGTTTGGTGAAAGAAAGTTGGGTTTATTTGGGGAAATGATGTGATTCATGGTTTTCCCAAGATCGACGCTGAGTACAAGAAAAGACAGAATCCACCTAGCTGTTGTGTGACTTTGAGCAAATTACTTAACTTCTGTGTGTCTCAGTTTTATTCATCTGTCAGTGAGATTATAAGTGTCTACTTAAATGGCTGCATGCATGGTGCATTTTAAGTAAATATTAGCTGTTGTTATTTTTCATTTCCGATGTTCTTATCTCTGCCGTTTATACGGGATATTTTGAAGTGGGGGGGGGAGCCAAGGGAAGAGGGTCATGATCTTTAAAGTTTTATTAATAAAAACTTTTAGAGAGTAAAAGGCTAGCAGATGGGGCTAGCTAATAATTTGCAGTCACTCTTCTTTCCTAATTTATTTACCTTCCTGACAGAGTTTCATTTTCTTTCAGTGCCTTGTTCAGATGAGTGAGTTCTTGGCTAAAGAGGTAAACAAAATTTAGCTTCTGTTAACATTGTTATTTTATGCCTCAGGAGGAAGACCAGCTACAAGGAAATACTTCTGAAAAATCATTCTGAACCCCAAGCTGGAGTGAATCTTCTCCTGAGCTCTCTCATTCCAGAATGGCAATCTTGTTGCAGGAAAGATCTCTAATAGTGACTGATGGTAAAGGAAGAAGGCTGTGCCTAGAATAAAGAATCAGGCTGGCAAAGAAATCACAGGTCTTTCCTCAAACTTCAAATTGTTACTATCTGGAGATAGCTACCTGGACTTTACAGAGCTGTCAGAGGACTTGGGAAGGTTTGCCAGCGTTGGAAAAAGCCACTTGGACTTCACAGAGCTGTCAGAAGACTTAGGAAGCTTTGCCAGTAGTTCCTGAGACCAGAAATACATATTATGAAACAGGTGCTGGAACAGGTCCTAACTCCTACTTGTGAAGCTGCAGATATAGGTAGGATTATGTCATCCAGAATGTGGAGAGGAGGCAATCGATGATGCTGGAAAAGTTGAAGAGACAGCTTGAATGAAGGACAAACCACAGGTGGGAAAGGTTGGAAGGATCACTTATAGCTGGACTAGCAAAAGGCTTTGGGAATAGGATAGAAAGCAGCAAACCTGAACTTTAAGATCCACCGGATGTCTCTGGAACCATAACCCAGCATTTCCCGTAAATAGCAGGCTTTAATTCTCCTGCTGTTTAGGTGCATCTCTGGGACCTTCTCTTTCTATATTGGGTTTTTTGTTTGTTGGGTGTTTTAAGTTAGGGGTTAGCTTCAAATTCCATTTCCCAAGACCAATTTTATCACATTGCCTTTGGGTCTTAGGCTAAAAGATAGAACAAGGTATGCTTTTGGTCAAGATAGTACCTTGGAATCAAAGGTTTCAGATCAAACCTAAGATCCTATCTTAGTTTACCTCTCAGTGTTATTGCCTTTTGATATGGAAAGTTGATGAGAGAGCATCTCTGGAGAGAAAGAAGAAGAGAGCCTCACAGGGGAAGCTTTTAGAACTTTTAGTAGCATCCTCTCCCCGGAAACCTTGTCTCTACTCATCTCCTTCTCATTGTCTACCTGATTCTTTAAGTAGAAAATCTCAACCATATTTGTAGGGGCTTGGGGTTTTGTTTTTTGACTCACTTAACTCCTTTAACTTCAAAATGTTGCTTTCTTACATTTTAGACATGAATATTACCTAGAAAAGCTATTACCCCACTGTAAATTTTCCAGTTTATTGATTTCCCCACATCAGATTAGTATGTATTTTGAAACTGGTTTAGCTATTGTTTCAAGTTAACTTTGATCATATCCCATTGTTTACTGATCCACTCAACAAATATTTATTGAACATTTTGTAGGTCTGTAGTAGTAGCCAAGATACTTATCAGTGAGTAGAAATAGTCCTTTTAACTGTCCTTAACAAATTAAACTTTCTCTTGGTTTCATGATATTCCTTGTTTCTCAGCTTTGGATTCAAACTGATCTTCTCTTAACTTTTTTGATTACGCTTTCCTGATTTCTTTTATTGTCACATTTTGTGAAAAGTCTTCCATGCATTTCCAGTTTCTTCCTGCCTAGCTGTCTCTTCTCACCCAAATTGGACCCCTCTACTCCTACCCTGCCACGTGCCTTCACAAAAATGAGATGCTTGTTTAGAGACTTAGAAAAGGCATGCACTTTAGGTAAAAGTGGGTTTTATTTTTAATCACTGTACCCTATCATAAATTTCATTTCAGAAGAGACAACTGACATTTGAATTATCTGTGCATTTTATTTTAGATGGTGTTACTGAGAAGGAAACTAAGGACTTGGCTCCAAAACAAAAAAAAAATCTGGATATGCTGAATTTTATTAGGGGGAATGTTTGTAGAACTGCAACATCAATGCAATAAGTGTAGTAAAAGCTTTAGTTTCTGGTGCATCATTAGTCAGCATCATGTAGTCCACGATGAAGAGAATATCTTTGCAATCTCTGCAATCAACAAGTTTTGAAAGGCTTTTGCTTGTAGTGGAACCCTCTTTTCCCGCAGAAGAACCACCACAGGAAAAATGCTGTGAGCATAAGAAATGTGGGAAAGTTTTCAGCCACATGGCCTTATTTGACATCAAAGAATCCACATGAGAGAGAGACTGCATAAATATGATAACTGAGGAGGCCTTTGTTCAGCAAGGAAACCTTATACAAACTTGTGTGAAGAATGTAGGAAGACCTTCGCCCAGAAGCCAGAACTGACTGTGCACCAAAGAATCCGCACCATAAACGTGATGAATGTAGAGATGCTTTCTTCAGCATTGGACAATTCACACTAAAGGGAAACCCTGCCAGTGTGATGAGTGTGGAAAAGGCTTGGAAAAATCAGTGAGTGAATTCATATTAGAGGCTCTTATAAATGAGAGGATTGTGGGAACTTGTATAGACAGAGATCAGACCTCAACAAGGGAGTCTCCACAGTATTGAAAAGTTAATATAATTAATGTAAGTGGGCAAGTTGTATGGAGAATGGGTAGTCTAAATTGCTCTTTTAGCCAGTAAAAACATTAAATGAGTTTCTTAGATCAAGAAAAGGAAATGTTACAAGTTAGTTTTCCCTTCCAGAGAGATCTATATGTGTAAGCAACCAGGACTTTTGAAATAAGTTGCATCTTTGGATTTGTGATCTGTCTCCTGGATGATTATCTCTGTTTTGGGGGACAGGTATTTTTTCTTCATGCCTGCTCTAGTCTCATCTCATATCTTTAATTCATTCAGCAAGTATACACAGTAGTATTATCGTCTACTGTTTGTTGTAAATATATATATATATATTATTTTCTTTATGGGCTGAGTAGGCTTGTATAGGTACCCTAGTACACAAAAATCACATATATCGTGTTTCAGTAAATGTAGTGAAAGGAACTATATTATGAAATTGCTGGGCATTTCTATAAATTTGGGACTACCTTTTTATTCTCCAACACAAGACCATGTAGGTGTCCCTTCAGACAGTATATTTTTCCAGCTTTGGCTTCTTTATTTTCTTTCTTTCTTTATTTTTTTGAGGCGGAGTCTTGCTCTTGTCGCCCAGGCTGGAGTGCAGCAGCATGATCTCAGCTCGCTGCAACCTCCGCCTCCCTGGTTCCAGAAATTCTCCTGCCTCCGTCTCCCGAGTAGCTGGGTTTACAAGTGCTTGCCACCACGCCCAGCTAATTTTTGTGTTTTTAGTAGAGACGGGGTTTTGCCATGTTGGCCAGGCTGGTCTCGAACTCCTGACCTTGTGATCTGCCCACCTTGGCCTCCCAAAGTGCTGGGATTACAGGCATGAGCCACCGTGCCTGGCTGTTTTTTTAAGATAGAAAAATATACTTCATGTATAGCCTATTGACAGATAATGACTGATATTTTTTCTTATAGATAACACATAATAAACATTGTGAAGACTAATATGTTAAGTAACTTGCTTATTCTTTTCAGTTCTAAAACCTATAGGAAAGAATCTTTAGAAGCTGTCAACAAGTTGGTAATGTAGCCCAAACTCTACCCATAATAGGAGAGTGAGGCTTATGTATTTTATAGTAGGACACTAAATATAGGAACCATGTATTTAAAAACTTTATTTAGTGATTATCTCAGAATGCTAGGTTTCTCTCTGGTGTACATCCCTAAATTTTTTGCATAGGTATTATTAATACATTCATTATTTTTAAAGAGGGACTGCATTCTGTAAAAGGCTTTTCCAGTATCTGCAAGTCATACAGTTGTTTTAAACTCTATTACTATTATATAAAATGATTTCTTTATATTGAACCAACCTTGTATTCCTAGAATAAACCTCACTTAGCCATGATGTGTTATTTTCTTAATGTATTAATGGGTTTACTTGTTAATATTTAGTACATTTTCTTCAATATTCATATGAAATTGGTCCGTAATTTTTATATCATATTTTTGAGCTTTAGATTTCACTCTTTTACTTGCATCATAAAAATAACTTAAGTCTGTGTTCATTTTTAATGCTCTAGAACAATTTGCGAAGCATTGGAACTAGCTAGTCTTTGAAGGATAGATTCTGATGTGAAACTCTGGGTCATATGCTTTTTTGTGGGATAATTTCATGGTAACTTCCTCTATTCTATGAAAATTATCCATTCAGGCTTTCTATTTATAATGGGTTCCATTTTGGTAATCTTTATTTGCCTTGGAAATTATCCATTTCATCAAGACTTTCAAATTTATTTGCCTAGAATATGCAATGTAACCTAATGACTTTTAAAACAAATTTTATTTATTGTATTTTTTTAGAGACAGGGTCTTGCTCTTTTATCCAGGCTGGAGTGCAATGGTGCAATCATAGCACACTGCAGCCTTGAACTCCTGGGCTCAAGGAATCCTTCACCTCAGTCTCCCAAGTAGCTGGGACTACAGGCACACACCACCACACCCAGCTAATTTTTTTGTTTGTTTTTGTAGAAACAGGGTCTCTGTTGTTCACACTGGTCCAAAACTCCTGGCCTCAAGCGATTCTCCTGCCTTAGACTTCCAAAGTACTGCGATTACAGGCATGAGCTACCATATCTGGCTTCCTTATGACTTTTTAAACAGCTTTATGGAAGGAAATTGATATGTAGTGAACTGCGTAAGTGTGCAGCTTGATAAGTTCTAATGTGTTTACACCTGTGAAACAGTTACCACCATCAATATGTCACCCAAAAAAGCTTCCTCATATCTCATGATAATTTCTCCCACCTTTACCTGCACTCTTCCACCCCTCTCCAGGCAACCTCTGTTCTGCCTTCTATTGCTAATTTAGTTTGCATTTTCTGGAATTTTATATAAATGGACTTATACAGAATGTTCTGTTTCAGGGGGGTCTTGCTTCTTTTATTCAGCATAATGATTTCAACATTCATCCATGTTGTTGGATGTATAAATAATTCTTGTTTTTTTTTTTTTTTTTTTTGAGACAGAGTCTCACTCTGTTGCCAGGCTGGAGTGCAGTGGCATAACCTTGGCTCACTGCAACCTCTGCCTCCCGGGTTCGAGTGATTCTCCTACCTCAGCCTCCCAAGTAGCTGGGACTACAGGCACGCACCACCACATCCAGTTAATTTTTGTATTTGTAGTAGAGACGGGGTTTCACTGTGTTGACCAGGATGGTCTCGATCTCTTGACCTTGTGATCTGGCCACCTCGGGCTCCCAAAGTGCTGGGATTACAGGCGTGAGCCACCACACCCAGCTTGCTTTTGCAATAATTTTATCAGCTAAGTACCAGGTCTCTTGCCAGGTATTTGCACTACAGGAGTGTGAAATATTTACAGTTTATTGGCTTGTATTTCCTACATTGGTCCTTTTATTTTCTTTTATCATGGGCTCCGAATTTATCTATTCTTAGAAGCTTTTGCTTTCACCCCTAATCTGATGTATATATCTTATTCAATTGAGTTATTTGGTCAACTTATTTTGTAATTGGAATTGTTTTTGAACTCCTACTTTAATGAAGGTAACACTGAAGATTCATAATAGCTACTTAGTCTAATTTTATTTAGATATTCTAATCTGTTTTTGTTTCCAGTTCAATATTATACTAGTAAAATAATCTACATATCTCTATGTCCTCAAATATACTGATTTTAATTTTTTCTCATGAGAATTCTGTACAAGTTAGTCACTTAAGATATAAACAGTCTTCAGAAATGGTATAAGAGTTCCCAACCATTTTACCACAGGACTGAGGTTCTTTTCCTCCACCCTATTTTTGAAATATTGTGCCTGTTAAAATATAATTATTTAAGGCTGGGCACAGTGGCTCATGCCTGTAATCCCAGCACTTTGGGAGGCCAAGGCAGGCGGATCACCTGAGGTTAGGAGTTCAAGACCAGCCTGGCCAACATGATGAAACCCCATCTCTACTAAAAATACAAAAATTAGTCAGCCATGGTGGTGGGTGCTTGTAATCCCAGCTACTTTGGAGGCTGAGGCAGGAGAATCACTTGAGCCCAGGAGGCGGAGGTTGCAGTGAGCCAAGATCAAGCCCCTGCACTCCAACCTGGGTAACAAGAGTGAGATTCTGTCTCAAAAAAATAATAATAAAATAAAATAAAATATACGAAATTATTTAATATCTTTAACTTACTTTCCTGTTTCTTATTAACTCTAGAAAAGCGTAACTGGCCAAGTTCAGTCACTCTAATTATCTGATGTATGTCTATAATAACAATTTATCAGCCACATAACAAAAATTCCTATCATTTCAGCAGCTACCCAATCTGAATTACCTGATTTACTCATTCAACAAATACTTACGTGCCAGAAAATGTAGGTATTGTTATTAAAGTGGAAAACAAAACATGCAAAATTTCTAGTTTTCACAAAGAATCTACATTGTAAGAGATGTAGGCCAGTTGACCAATGAACAAATGAAAAATAATGTATGGGCATCCAGTTCCTGACAAGATGGAGCAGATACACTTCTCCTTATTTCTCCCACTAAGTACAGCTGAAACCCTTAGGCATTATATATAAAACAAACAAGAAGACACTGCAAGTTGGAGGGAAAAAGGCATTTAGGACCCTCAGGATGCAGAGAAAGACCCAGAGGTGAATACCCTTGGTGTTTTTATTTTTATATTTTTGTTTCTGCCTCATATATCTTGTAGTGACAGTAGAGACTGCATGATCTGAGTGCTAGAGAAGCCTGCAACTCAAAAGTGCTGCAGTTGATTCTACCCAGGGAGTTATTTCAGTAATTTGATTTTTCAGTTATAAAATTTCTATTTGCACTTCTTTGAAAATATCTTCTAGTTTTTGCTGAGACTATTTCTTTGCTGAGACTTTTTTTGCAAACATTTAACTAAATGCTTCCTGAAGTATTTTTATGGTGACTGCTTTAAAATACTTGTCAAACAATTCCATCCAACAATAGCAGAATACATTTTTTCTTTAAATATCCACAGAACATTCACAAATAATGACTACATACTAGGCCATAAAACAAACCTAACCAAATTTTCAAGACTGAATTCGTATAGAGTATATTCTCTGTCCACAATGGAACCAAACTAAAAATAACAGACAACAGGAGAATCTCTAAACATTTGGGACTAAATGAAACAGTTCTGAATAATGCCTAAGTCAAGGAATATGTCTCAAAGGGGAAAAAAATTGAACATAGGCCTGAATAAAAATACAACTTATCATAATATATAAGACATAGCTAAAGAATGCTGACAGGGAAAGTTAGAGCTCTGACTGCTTATATTAGAAAAGAGGAATAGTCTCAAATCAATAATTAAGTTCCTACTTCAAGAAACTGAAAGATCAAGAGCAAAGCAAACCTAAGGCAGCAGAAAGAAGGAAATAACAGAGATAACAAATCAATTAAATTAACAGGATAACAACAGAGAAAATAGTTGAAACAAGAAAAGCTATTAAAGTTTATATGGTAGAACCAGAGAGCAGAACAGCAGGTTACCAGAAACTGGAGATGGTCAACAGGCACAAAGTTACAATTAGATAGGAGGAATAAACTCTGGGGTTCTATTGCACAGTAGGGTGACTGTGGTTAATGGTAAAACACTGTATATTACAAAATAGCAAGAATAGAGGCTTTTGAATATTCTTACCACAGAGAAGTCATAAATGCATGAAATGATGGATGCACTACACTGATTGGATCATAATACAACATATTTATCAAAATGTCAAATTGTACTCCATAAATATGTAAAATTACATTGTGTCAAAATAAACAAAAAATATTTTAATCGATAAAACAGGTAAGCCTCTAGCAAGACTGGCAAAGATAAAAAGAAAGACCAAATCCCCAATAACAGGAATGAGACAAGGGATGCTGCATCTGTTTGAAGGATCATAAAGGTAGATTCGAAAATTTGCACTAATAACTTTGACAACTTAGAAGAAATAAATCTCTTCTTCAAAAAGTCCAAGTGGCCGAGATGAAACAGATAGTTTGAGTAGTCTTATAATCATTAAAGAAATTGAATTCATAATCTAAAAGTTTCCAAATCTTCAGGCCCAGATGCCTTCATTGGAGAATTCTACCAGACATGTGAAGAAGAATTAGCAGCAATTTTACAAAATCTGTTCCAGAAAATAGAAGAGAAAAGTGTAAGTTCCAACTCATTTTATAAGGTTAGAATTACTGTGATACCATAAGGAGACAAAGGCAGCACGAAAAAAGAAAATTACAATCTAGTATCCTTCATGAACTTAGATGCAAAAGTTCTCAACAAAATATTAGCAAATTGAACCTAGGTATTTATAAAAAGAAGTACACACCATGACTAAGGGGGATTTTTTTTTCCAGTACAAAAGGTTGTTTCAATATTTAAAAATTAAACTGTATTTCATCACATCAACATATATATATATATATAAAACAGAAATACTGTATAACCATACAATTGGCACAGAAAAAGCATTTGACAAATCCAACACCCATTCATGACAGAAACTTACAGCCCACTAGAAATAGAAACTTCCCACTTCATAAAGAATGTCTACAAAACATTCACAGATAACTTCATACTTAACAGTAAAAGACTATGTTTTAACCATAACATTGGGATCAAGGCAAGAATGTCCACTCTCATCACTCTTATTCAACATAATATTGAAAATACAAGCCAATGCAATAGGTAAAAAATGATTAAAAGCATACAGATTGTTTGTAGATTTTGTGTACACACACAAAAGAAACCAAAATACAAATTGGAGACAAACCTGCTCCTATTTGCAGATTAAATAATAGAGTGTATAGAATATTCCAAATAATCAATTACAATTTTGAATCTAGTACAAAATATAGCTAGAACTAGTAAATGAAT